GTAGTTTGTAGAGACTTGTAAAATTGACTCATCAATATTGTTGTCTTGCTAATCAAAATATCTTAACTATTGCATATATTTCATAGGTCATCAACTAATCAGAAAAATAAATACATTGTCTTTTCTAGTGTAATCTAAAGTTTGCCTGCCTTTGTCGCTTAGCTGCCGCAATTAGTTGCCGGCTGTGCAGCATTCACACGGCTGCAACAGAGTGTAATGCGGACATGGGATGTTGCACCTAGCTGTGATTTTGAGTAATCATCGCTCAACACGGAAATACACCTAGAATTGAGAAGTGTAGAGAGTTGAGCTGCCCATCTCGACCGGCTTGACCCACAAACTTGACAAATACATCATGGGGCCATTCCATCTCCATGTGGGTTGTGGGAGGGGTGTGGGGCACTTGGCAACAGTTGGCCAGCACATCGTAAATCAAATGCTCATAACAAATCTTTTTTTTTTTTGTTGCGTTTTGTTTGCTGCAAACAGTTGTTGGCTTAAATCACGCGAAATCAACGTGAGCCAAGTTTGCAGCTAAAGTGGAAGTCAAGTTTGGAGTTGATGTCGGAGTTGGAGTTGAAGTTGGAGTTGGAGTTGAAGCTGAAGTTGCAGCTAAGAAGGTAAATCATAAGTCACTGCATGTCTGGGTCGTCATCTTCATCTTCATCTTCATCTTCAACTTGATGCTCATCGCGGTCGTCCGCGAACGTTGCCGCCTCGCATGCAAAGTGTCAGTCATAAGTGACTTTTCGATTTTGGCTGCCAGCAGCAACAACAACACTAACAAAAGTAACAACAACAACAGCAGCAGCAAATTAATTATAGCCAAGCCATTTTTAGACATTTTTCTCTTCTTTTGCTGCTGCCGAGCAACAGAATTGTGTGTGTGCAAATGTCTTCAACTCATCAAAAAAAAAAAAGAAGAAAAGATGAAAAAACTTCAAGTCTTCCAGCTGAGCACCTTTCACCTTAAATTGCTTGCTTTATGACCGCGAGTGTTGCCAAATGTCGACCCCTTTCATGCGAATTGTTGTGCTTCTTGCCCCTTTTGCAAGCTGTCTTTTGTTGGCTGTCAGATTTTTGTTTTCTTTTTTTTTTTAGTCACATACCCTTGCAGAAGAGCATTGAAATTGTGTTATGATGTGCAGTTAAATTAAACTTAATTGCATTTCATAAAACTTAAAGTTAGCAAAGAGAAGTTAATTCATAAATTTCCCCTTGAAAATGTAGAAAAACGAAATTACTTAAAAGAAAAATATGCGCAAATTTTTAGCACATTAGCAATAAATTTTTTTTTAATTTGATGTTTTTTATGACGTTTTCCCTTGACTATAAAAAATACCGCATAAAGCAAAGCTAGCATTTATTAAGAAAATTGAATGAGTAAAATTATTTTAGCATTAATTTATTTAACGTTACCTTTTATCAGACACACAAAACTACAAAAGGAAATAAATTAAATTTAAAATACAATTTTTTAATTAATTTAAATTTAAATTTAAATAAAACTGACAATAAATGCTTTATTTTATTTACTTCACAAAGAGAAACTTAATAAGTAATATTCTTAACCTTTTCAGGTCCAATTAAGCAAACAGTGCAACTAAGCTGCAAGTCCAAGTTTATCCTTTAGGGTATTCAAACTTCGTTATCCACAAAAAAAGAAAACCAAAAACATGTCAGTTCATTCTCAATTTTCAACGCTTTGCTGAGTTTTTTGATGTTCGTCACTTTGACAAGCTTCTTCTAGCCAACCTTTCACTGTCCGCACAATGTTGCAGGTGTGTTGCAACCCAAAACCAATAACGTTAACAACTTGCAACAACAGGTTCACACCCATGCAAAGACTGACGTCAAAACTCAACCCAACTTCAACTTCAACTTTAACTTCAGCTCAAATGAAGACGCAGCAGAAGAAATGTTGTAAGCCGCTAATTAATGGGCATCGCCTAAGCCTTGATTAAACTGCAACTGGCAGCGGTTGGTTGCATTCTGAACTCTTGAACTGTTTGCCATAAATATTGCCAATAGATGGTAGATATGCCTGCCTGCCGTGGAGTCTTCATTAGTTTGGCCAGTTTTTTTTGTTTTTATTTTCCCAGTTGCTAAGTTGCGACGTTGCCTCGTTTACCATGTCGGCTTTATGTCAATTAGATGTTTGTCTTCGATTAAACCTCGAGCGCATAATTTGCCGCATGTGACAGCAATTTGCCGCTGCAATCAAACAACCCCCTCCTCCCCCACACACACACACACACTCAGTTACCCACCCCCTTCTGCAAGTGAACATTGCGTTTTTAATCGTAGGTCGAAGCTGGTCAATCGATTGATTGATGTTTAGCCCCGCAGCGTGTTAAACATTGATTAGCCTTAATAGGCACAGGTGCAGGTGTGTTCGCTTGCCAGCCTCGAAGTCCACGTCCTTTTGGCCCTTTGCGTGTTTTGACTGACCAACACACAGAATTCTTATTAGCCAATTGCTATTGATTTTGTGGCTTTGTGTCTAAATTGATTGATGATTGTAATTGGAATACAAGTGGCATGTACAGGAGCTACAGTGTGTTAGAGAGTTCAAAGTTCAGCGAGCAGGGCACAGAAACCTACTTGAAAAAGTTAATCTATTGTCAAACTATGTCAAATGTGAATTGGATATGGCAGACACAAATTGTTGTTAGAGTAAATATTGTGAGAGAGGAGTTTAAGTTGAACTTGTAATGGATTGCTGGAAAAATCTAGAGTATAATGGAACATCCACTTAAATAGAAATCAGCAAAGTTGTATTGGATTATTGAGAAGTTCTATTTTAGTAAATATATAATTTAACTGAAGGAAAACTCTAATGGTATCTGCTATTAGAGTATAGGTTTCACTTACTCAATGCCTATCAAAACCATACTAAATTCTTATATCTCAAACTCGTTTTCTCATTTGCTAAACTATCTTCAATTGAGCTCATTGCGTGAGATATTCAAATATTGTCAGTAAAATTCTTTAGTGTCTATATCTCAACTGTTATTGCAGCGTTGAGTTCTTCAAGTTACACGAAACATGATCACTTTTGGCTTAACCCCACAGAAATAATGATATAGCGAATAACATTATTCACATGTGTTGGGTTGCTTGGGAACTCAGTGGAACGATAAGTTTCGAGTTGCAAATCAAATTAAATGCGAGCAATTTGGGTGCTCAATTTTCATAAATTTCCACACCCAATGAGCTGGAGGCTTAATTTGAAATTAATTGTGGCAAAATGTATACAGTCTGACGACTGACTCTTGACTCTTGAAAGGAATGATTACTCCAATTTGTTTTGGGCCGCAACAACAGAGAATTGGCCAACATGGAGGCGGCAGCAGCAGCTGGCAGCTTATCGACAAAAGCCACAAAGCCGGCCCAAAGACTGAACAAGCTCAGGCATTGAGTGGGCTGCGATTAGCTTGGAGTTTCGTTTGTTTTCTAACTTAGGCGCACCCGCAACTTCCAACTGGTCCAAAAACAGCCAGGCAACCAGGCAATAAGGCAGCCAGGCAACCAGGCAACTACTCCCAAGTGGTCCAAGCTCCCCGTTGCGCCAGATCCAGATATGTTGTGAAGCTGCTTCAGCTTCAGCTCATTAATAAGCGCCGTCTTTAGCAGAATGTTGGCAACAACAACCACTTGAAGCACTTGTAAAATGCAACATTTGTTTGAGCGATAAAATCACCTTCAATAAATTCACAATGAACATACCAAAAACGCCGCATAAAATGCAAAAGACGTCGTCGTTGTGCCCCTCCCCTCCTTTCCCCCTTCCCAGTGGACACACGCCACACGCCCCACGACAACAACGATCGAGATACAGATACAGATACAGATGCAGATGCAGATACACACACAGAACGCCGGGATGGGGATATCTGCAAGTATGCGATGCATTCATTCTGGCTGCCTGCCTGCCTGCCTGCCGGGGCTTTCCAATGGAAATGCGCACTGGAAAAGCGCAGCCGACAAAAGCCAGCTTGGCCACTCTTAACAACAAAAATAAAAATAAAAAAACGAGCGACCACCGCTGCAAAGACTTCAGCGAACGCGACAAAATAAAAAATAGAGTTGTACGACGACCACCTGCAGACCCACAACAGTCACCATCCCATCCACACAGGCGCACACATCAAGTACACTCAGCGAAAACTATCACTGACAATTGAGAGAGTTCTATGATTTCTAAAATAATAGAAAAATGGTTATTGAATTTCATAAATTTAATAAGATTTATCTAATTATTAATTAATAATTGAGTTGTTGTAATTATAAGATATGAATGAAGTTTGTGAATAAAGCGCAAGAGTTTCTACTTTAAAAAAAGAGTGTTCTGCATTAAATAACAAATTTGTCTTTTCTCTGCTGTCTAGTAATATTTTTGCTGAGTGTAGAGCCACCAACCATGGCCTGGCATTTGTCGTCTTTGCGTGTCTTTTGGAGCTGCTGCGTAGCACTTGCCGCTTCTGTTGTTGCTTCTGTTGTTGCTGCCGCTGTTGCTGCTTCCATTCAAATGTCGCCGAGCGCGCCTAAAATATGCAAAGCTCTTGGAATATCTTGTAAACGAAGCACTGACCCCCAATGCGTTCTGGCTACCTAAGAAGAGTCAACTTGGCAGCAGGCAGCAGTTGCCTTTCTTCCATTTTTGGCTGCCACACTTGCTCCACTTGTCAGCCGAAGCTGCACATCTCTCTGTGTGTGTGTGGGCCTAAATCGTAACTCAAGCTAAGCTTTTGTCTAACAAAAAGTCTTAAATAATTTAACTAGACAATTGAAATGCTCGTTGGTATTTCGTATTCCAAGCTGCAACTATTTAAATGCTAAAAGCAACTATTTTTCTATATTAATATTGATTGTCGTAGTATAAATATCAGAAAAGTAATAAATTTAATTGTAAATACTAACCAATTTTGTAGTCAATAAATCAATAAATGTATTTAAAGGACTGCAGCCCTAATAGAATAAGGCACAAGACCATAAAACACGATTCGTTACACAATTTATTCATATATTTATGCAGCAGTAATGCTATCAACAGACACATTAGATAAGCACTTGAAGATAATGTTAACTGATCACTAAAACAAATTGTAAATGTGCATAAAAATTAGATATGCCAAAGTAATTTAAGTCGAATTGTTAAACAATATATGCACACACTTAACGTGGCACCTTCTTACTTACATTTCCTGGGTGTCTCACACAAAGTGCGAGATAGCGACCCCAAAAATGGTAACAGGCCACACCTACACAGCTATAGTGTTGCATACAGATACAGCTACAGCTACAGCTACAGCTACAGCTACAGCTACAGCTATCGACCCCGGGCAGTGTGGACACATGTAGCTGCTGATATTAATAGCTCCGTATTACCAGTTGTCATTTGAGCCGCGGTCAGCTGTCTGGGATTGCAATGAGACAATTTCCCAATTGCAGGAGTGTCGAGGCCCAGCAGCGTTTTGTTTCTATTTCATTTTTACGGCTGCTTTTTGTAGCCGCAGCACGAGTAAATTGAATCAACAGCCAACACCCCTCCCCACCCTCCCCCTCGCAGCCAACCTTTAGGCCAAGTTGAAAGAGAATGCTGCGTGTCGATTGCATGTTCCGCCAACTAATCGAACGAATCGATCAAATTCTCAGTTGCTGCCGCACGCAAGTGCAGCTGGCCAACGAGTCAGAGAAAGACAGAGATAGAGAGAGAGAGAGTGGGAGTGGGAGTGTAGAGAGGAGGGCGGGGTGTGTCTCATAATAAAAGGGGTGTGTTTGCGGGGTATTACTATTTCAGTATCAGTGATCGTAGCGGTAACTGGGCAAAGAAATAACATAACGCCCGCTGCTGGAATTCAATTATGACGACTGCCGCTGCGAGGCAATAAACAAATGTACAGACGTAATATTTAATAATAAAGCCAACACCAACAATAGCAACAACAACAATAGCAACAGCAACAACATTAACAGCAAAACAGCAGCTAAGCAACAAATGGGCTTTTGTCCATTTAGCTGGCTGGGCATGCTCAGCTTCAGCTTCAGCTTCAGATTCAGATTCAGCTTTGGCTGCCGAGTTTGGCCGCCCCAGTTGGCCATCTATCTAACTGTATGTGCCAGCCAGCTAGCCACGCAGCCTGCCAGCCACCCGCAAGCCACATGCCAATAACAACAAACTGCGATGCACGACTAGCGAATACCCTTTGCCAATATTGACAAAAAAGATTTTTGGGCTTGAATTTGTAGATGAATGTTGACCAAGCATCGCGCTTCCAACGTTAAATGTAGTTTCTATCTCAAGTTCAAAACTTGTTTAAATCGAAACGAATTGGAATTGAATACACTCAGCAAAAACTATCACTGAGAACATATATCGTTCAACATTATATCTGTGGAAAATGTTGATCAGACCCAAAACATCTTTTTGAGGGAATAATTTTAACATGGAAATCGATTCCGAATTGCGTTTTCAACTTTAAATATAGTCTTCATCTAGAGATCAAGATATGATCATAAAGCCATTGTTCTTGAAAATCCGATAATTCTTAACAAAGTTATGATTCTGTAAAGTTTTGACCAGGCCCAAAACATTACTTTGAAAGCATCATTTGAACATGAAAATCTAGTCAGAAATGCGCTTGCAACTTTTAATGTAATATTCATTTGGAGGTCAAACCATGACCAAAAAAGGGCTGCTTTTGAAAATATGATCAAATTTGACAAAGTTATAGCTGTGGAAAGTTCTGACAACTCCAAAGCAATGGACTACCCCAGACACACTCAATTGACTACAGGGTATCAGAAAGGCAACAAACACCAGCCCAGCCGCACAACAATAAAACTTATTTATGTCTCTGGTCAAATTTGCGCCGCTATTTTGGGTACTTATTTGACAGAGCACCGTTTTGTACACGGCCAAGAGTCGGGCTCAGATTTCCACGGCAGTCGCAGAGATCTCGAAAGCGAGCCAGCCCAGTGTCCAGTGTCCAGTGTCCGTCCAGTTTTCAGTGTTCAGTTTTCTGTTTTCTGTTTTCAGTTTTCAGTAGTCTGTGATTCGTTTCAGCGCTTGTCTTTTGTTTGGGCCGCGCCAAAAGGTTTACGACCTGTTAATGTCCAGTCTAGGCAAACAGTGACGGCCATTTGGCCATTTGGTCATTTTGGCCACTCCAGCGTTTGTGTCGCTGCTGCTGCTGCTGTTGATACGCAATTTGGCGCACATTTTGTTTATATTATTAAATAAATTTCATGTTATGTTTATGGCACAGACCCATTGTTGTTGTGTGACGCTGCGGGCAAAGAGTGTGCTAAATAAATTATTGCCCAGTTCTGTTTTTTTTTTTTTATCATTTTTGTATTCAGTTTATATACATATGTGTTCAGCAGCTATTTGCGAACAGCTTGCCAAATTATGCTATTCATATTTTATGTAATGATCTCTTTTCAATTGCTTTGCAGTCGAAACTTTTAGTTCGATTCAAATGTGAAGTGTGATTTTAGGGATAGCAAGATGAGGTGGCAAATCGTTAGAAAATAGATTACTTAAACATCTAATATTTATAAGCGGAATAAGTAATTATGTTGACAGCCGCCTTCAGCCAATTTCTATATCATATAGCTGCCATAGGAAAGATCTGTCGAAATGTAAGTTCTTCTGCGAGAATCTCTTTTGATTACCAAGAAATCTAAGGCTTAGATGTCAGCAACTGGAGGGTTTATCTTTTTCGACATGTCTAGGATAGCATTTCTTACATATTTTTCACTTTTTGCTCATTAATCGATAAATGAATCCAAAGCACCCATTGCTAGACATATGCCAAGTTTTCCCATTCGTTTGTAAATTGCCTTGCATACTCAATGTGTGGTGTGACTTTGGCTAATGATCGTGTATTAGAATTGGATTAGATTAACATTTTTCCATTATTATAGGGGCACATACATGCATATATGCAGTTTTATTGTTGTTGTTGTTGCTGCTGCTGCCCTCGGGCTATAAAGCAATTGACAAGCAGAGGCCTACTTATTATCGTGCCACACACAAGTTCCAAGTTCCTGATGACGTCTGTCAGCCCACATGGACGCACGTGCACTTAATTTATTTCAATAAAAATATAATTTCCAGCCTATTATCCACACTCACACAGACACACACACACACGCATACGCATCAGAACACAATGCGGATCCAATTAAGTTCGCAACGGCTATTTCTCAGTTAGATTCTCAACATTCTCATTTTCAGAGTTCGCATTGAGTTCGATGCTTTTTCTCATTTCCATTCTTTTCGAGCGTTAATCGCACCGAAAATGATGTGGGCTCATTTTGTATTATTATACTCGTATTGTGGAGCATTTTCAACGATAATACTCTGATACTCGTACAATAAATCTCGAATTACATTATGCATACGAAATGCTGCGGTTTGTATTAAGTTTCGACAAAAGTGTTAAAAATGGAACCCAAATCAATGCAGCCAAATGCACCATAAAACTGTCACAGACGCTTTAAAAATATATAATATATATATACATATACCATATATTTATATATATATGTGTTTGAAGAAGAAGAAGCATAAGAAACCAAAACCAAAAACATAAAACATAGTGGTCAAACGGCCACGGTTGGGGTCACAACTCATTCTCCGTCGTTCACAACGACATTCTCCAAGACGTGACTTTCAGTCTCTTTTTTCATTTGGAAAGTTCTGCGCCTGGGAAAAACAACTGGCACTCGAGGCGACTACACTCAGAGAAAATGCTGATATAGTACCAAGAAAAACGCTTTGAAATCCTATGTAAAAACTTATCTTAAACTATACATTTATCTGAATTTTAGAAGGAATTATATAAACAAATATGTATTTTTGGGTTGAAAAGGTTTCTAGTTTTAAGAATATATTATTCACCAACTGAGAAGAAATATCTAAAAAATAATGGTCTTCCAAAAATAATTATAAACTTTTTTCCGGCTTGATCTATAAAAAGAAACCGTTTCAACTTTTCAAAATATATTTTGTAAAGATAAAAAAAGGTAAAAGGAACAAAAGGAGCAGGTAAATTTTATAAGTCAAATAGTAAATGTTCCTAAAAACATTTAAATAAAAAAGTAGTTTTAACGACATAAAAATCGATTTCCATTTTCTTGTGGATTTTCCAAGTTTTTAGTCCTTACTTTTGCTGCGTGTATGTAATGCGATACAGTCAGTCGTTGACTTGGATTTGGTTATGGACAAACATGACACTCTATGTATATATATATATATATGTAAATATATATATTTACACACATAAACTACACACATAAGTCAACCACAAGTCGAGTTGCAAGTGCGTCTTTTGCCTTGTGGCACTTGTTGATCGGTACGGCGCCGCATTTCGTTGTTTTTCTTCAGTTTTTTCCTTGTTCTTGTTCTTGTTTACCATGAATTACATTTCTTATCAAATGAAATATGAAGGCCCCCATAAAAATGTGAATGCGTTTCCTGTGCCGAGTTTTCTATTTGCTTAGCATCGAGCTCTGAGCACTGAGCCCAAGACAGTGTTGCTGCAACTTGGGTAGTTGTTGTTGCTGGTCTTTATCTTTTTTATCGCTACTCGCTGACCTAATCGCCAATATTTGCTCTGATTAATTGAACCTAAACTCGGGCTTCTGATAAGCCTGCCCGGACTAAACTGCCCTCAAGTGAACCCTAAATGGCAGCCATTAATATTTAATGGGTATTTCGTGCATGTGACGTAATTTTTGGAAAAAAATTCCACTGTCAACAGAACTAAATAGTTGACTCCAAGTAGCGATGATCGCCCACACAAAAACATATCGAAGAGATATATTCCAGGAATGCGTTGCGATCGAACAAGTGTTTGCATTTAAATTGAAATAATTAAATGCCACAATGCCGATGAAAGATAATCGCCCCCATCCTGTGCGACAAACTAAACCGGAGACCTCAACAAACCTCAGAAACCTCAGCCAGACAACGACCCCGAGCTGCATGCTGATGATGGCCCTCCTACTCCTCCGTGCCCTTATCATGGCCCTTACCCCTGCCCGTGTCAGGCATTGTGCTGCACTTGCTCCTCGGCACATTCAACATTCAACGTAAAAATATTTATGCCCCTTTTTGGTTCTTTCATGAAATTCCTCAATCTTCAAACTCATTAATATGCTCAGGGGCTAGCCGGCTTATGATAAAAATTGATGGTCTTTCTTGCTGCGGTTTTATATTCGAGGCCGGCGATTGACGATTAATATATTTTGGGGCTGATGCGTGCAGCAAATGCCACGCCTTGCATATTTGGAAAGAAAAATGGAAACCAAAATGAGCCACAAAATTGAACAAATCTGAGACTCATTAATTTGAACACTTGTTTGGGCTTGCATGCCCCAAGGGGCACAGCAAAACACAGGAGCAGCAGGCAAATTGAGTCGCTGCTGTTGCGGTTGCGCTTGTCCTTACT